TATATATATATATATATATATATATATATATATATATATATATATGTATATATATAAAATTGACGTTGCCAGAACAAAAAAATGTAAACTATTAATTTTTTAAATATTAAAATTTTATGTTCTGTATTACTACTGTAGAACAGTTATCTTGGCGTTTTAGAAGCTTAATTAATTGTAATGACATTTAATTTACAGTCTATATCAATTAGAGGTGGAGAAAGACTAATAGGCCACTTTATTCCGATCTGTCAATACATTCCTGTCATACAGAAAGAAATAAAAAAAAAATAGGAGAAAAGTTTTATTTTATTGTCATTTTTCCAATTTTTTTTTAATGCGTGATGATGGAATGGTAACCCCGTTTGCGCTATCGTTATACCGACACTAGCGGGGTACTAGTGAATGATGATAGGTGAGGATGATGAGACAGGTCAGTTGGCCTATCGTGATGAATACACTTCGAATTCAGCACGATGGTTTCCAGAGGGGACTACGTGGATGTTGACCTGGTTGGGTATATTGCTAGCAATGGGTTCCTTAGACTCCATTAGTAACAATCCGTCCCCCCATTTATCCAATTGTGCATACTATAACAACAAGGTACCCCAAAAAATTAGAGTAAAGCTAAAGTTTAACAGTCTCTATTTATAGTTATAATTTAAGAATGAGTTTCATAAAAAAAAAAACAGCTTTAACTATGGTTACTTTGATCTGAAAACTAAGTTACTGAATCGATTTTGATAAAATTTCTATGAGATGAAGCTGCAAGCATATCCTTTCAGAGAAAAAATAATTTTTAAATTCTGTTTATAACTGATGGAGTTATGAAGACATTCTTGTAACATGCAATTGCAGTATTGCTGTTTGTATTTTTGTCGTATTTTGTTAAGAATTGGTCAAAACCAGCGCTGTGCAGCTGTACACATTGCACTGGGGCACTCACAGCATCAGCTGTTCCTTTTGCCTAATATAAGACACTTTTTATATATAATATTACTCTATTTTCTGTTATAACCAAGTGTTTTTCTGGCAATAAGTATTTTCTATTCAATATATTATATATAATAATAAATTAATGAATTTAACCAAATTCAGAATCTCCTTTTTTGAAGTCGGTTAAGACGCTAAGAATTTCTGGCTTCTACCTCACTAAAAATATTTATTTTCAATGGGATACTTTTTAATAGAAAATTAGCTGACTCGGCAAACGTTGTTTTACCATATACATTATTTTCAGAACTTACAAACTAACATGAAAATTTATCCTACTACAATTATTACATTGGATTGCCATCTGGCAACCCTATTGCAGCATATAAAAATCACGATGAAAATTTAAAGTTGTATGTATTTTGCAGTGCTAAATCATATTAAAATAAAAATAAAAAAAAATGTCAAAAAAAAAATTTTAGGGTTGGGTCACCCTTATCATTGAGGGGTATTAAAAATAGATATTGGCCGATTCTCAGGCCTACCCAATATGCACACAAAATTTCATGAAAATCGGTAAAGCCGTTTCGGAGGAGTTTGGTAACAAACACCGTGACACGAGAATTTTATATATTAGATTGTAGTATAATTTTTTTAACAAAAAAAATCCTTTAACGGAATAAATAAATGCAATGAATAATAAAAAAATTACTTACGCATCTGTAGTAAAATGATATGTAACTTTGCTAAAGTGGTTTTAAAATTTGCCAATCCATTAGATAATTTCTGCCCGTAGAGCATCATTGGGAATACTAACACCAAATAAAAAAATGTCGTAAATAGAAATTGCACACTTCCAAAATGGTGATAAACGACCTGTGGAAAAGTAATTCTAGTTAAATGATTGTTGAATTTGTACATAGATATATAAGTAGTTTATTATAATTTGTAGTGTTTGAATTCAAATTTTTATTAGAAAACAAGAATTATCAAAAAATCTTAAAAATAAACATAGATTCCAATTTTTAACTAGAATTATTGCCTAAAAAAATTATGAATTGTAGTATCAGTAAAAATAACAATTAGGCAACTATTTTGTATAAGATATGGAATAAAGAACATTTTATGTTAAATTAATATATTTCAGTACGGAACCCACGGCGTGTGAGTTTACCTCGCACCTGACCGGTTTATTATTTACTTACCTTTTTCACTAATATATTTATTACTCGATAACATACTGTTATATGATGTATTATTGATATGAGAAATGAAAATAGTATCTGAAAAAGAAAATTTCTAGTACAAATATAATTACAATATAGGTAGGTATGTAAATTAAAATTTGGCAGTTGATTGCACGGATGTTTATAAATTTGAGTATTCATGAGTTACAAATTAGATAACAAATAAAAAAATATATATTGACAAGCAAAAACTAAATGTTTTGCTCACAATATGTAATACAGAGAAGCAGTTATATTTGCATGGCTGTCTATCAGTTTGAAGGGTGGGATATGTCAGTAAATTTACAGGGTACAGAGGAATAATACCTGAGTCCTCAGAAATAGCAACGCATGAGGGGTATCATGGGCGAAACAGTATAGTCTGTTATGTCCATTGTACTGTTCACGTCTATAGGCGCGGTTACCACTTTCCATCAGATTGATTGCCATTCTAAGTTGCATAAAAAAAAAAATATTAATAAACCAATTATTTACCTGTGTACCAAAGCATATATTGATATTTTTGCAGCTCGTGTGCAGACGACAATAAATATTCGACCAGTCTTTAATCATTTCTTTAGTGATGACAACAGTATCCTCTCTTTTTTTCATGAACGATTTTGGTGAGTGCTTTATAGTTTTTTTCACGTATTTCGTCAAAAATCGTAATTGGGCTTCCATTATAATTATCAGTATAGTGTACATGTAGATTTCAATGATAAATCGACTTTGTATCCATATGTCATACACGTTTACAACAATTAGTGTTATAAGATGAAAGTAATTGGGCTCCCCTTGATTATTGTTCGAACGTTGTATGATATTCCAACTCAAATGTAGACGTAAGTATATAAAGATTATGCTATGAATAGCACAAATTATATTTATCTTTTTTAATATCCTCCGATAACGGACGTCTGTCTCAAAGAAAGCGTGAGCTTTATAAATATTTGTCAGTAACTCATCAAAAATTTTAGAATTTTGGAGACTACCAAATAGTGTTATCAAAATGAAAATGAAATTTACAATTTTAAATGAAACTTTCAGTATTGAAAATTCGGCAGCCGACTTACGAATTTCTGTAGACAGCGACGTAAAGTTAAAAACGAACATGGTTACAGAAAAAATTGATGCTATAACAATATGTGCATTCGCTATATATTTTTTTATTCCATTTTTATTGCAATAATTACGATAAATGCACAAGATATTTTCAATGTAGATTAAACATTCAATTATATTAATATTAGACATAACAAATTTTTGTATACGACACAGTTAGAAACAAAAAAAGAAGTACAAAGTTGAACACGAAATATTTACCGGTACTTATGAGTACATAGGTTGACTAGATATTCACATAACTAAAGAAAGCTTTTCAATTACTTACCCACCCGAATATTTCCATACATTACAGTAATAAGAAAATTGATTAATGGAGACACTTGGTTATCAAATAACGTGACCGTTCCTATGTTAAGATACAGCAATAAATAGTTTAATGACATAAAACTACCTTCTATATAAGAATCTAAAACAAGCCCCGATTATACCAAATGAATTAGCCGCACTGTTTATTGTATTTTACAGAATAATTCCATATTATCTACTTTAATTTCTAAGATATGAATTATACAATATACAAAAATATAGTTAATCCATACAAATAACCACATAATAATTATGGACACTTATATAAAAAATCGATAAATGTATACAATTACAGTAATTTAGTAATAAAAGTTCTCTTTTTATTCTCTTTAGTTATCAAACTCCAAGACAATAAAACTGCAGGATATCGTATGTCAGTGGAGAATGGGCACGATATCTTTGCAATAAATCTTATCCAGCTGTAGGTATACGGAAGAGAAAATTTTCTTTAACATAGCTGTTCCTTTAGATTTGTATGTATTGTTTTGGGTACTACAAATAATCTTTTCATCTTGTTGTTTAATATTGGATTAATATAATTATTTCTATTCATATTTTATTTAATAATACTTTTTACTCGATAAATATAGTCAACTTATATAATCAACTATATCTAAAAATAAAACGGCCCAAAACATTAGGTGCTAAAGATCGTGTTATTTATAAAAAAAATAAACTTAATTACGATTTTAATGAGTACAAATATGGACGGTATTACAGTCCCTCGAGTAATATATACATAATACAATAATTGGCAGTATACCATTAATGGCAATGATAGCAATGACGAAATAAATAACATTATTAAGTAATTAATGATGAGGAGGTACTGCTTAGGGTTAAGGAAAAGAGGCAAATTATAATTATTGAGTACAGAAGGGAAAAAATGTTGGGGCATTTCATATAATACGACGAACTTATGAACATTATAATAGAAGGTAAAATAGAAGGAAGGAGGGGAAGAGGGAGACCAAGGCATAGTTACATCAGGCGGATCAAGGTAGGAGTTGGTGTCGTGTCGTATCAAGAGGTGAAGAGACTCGCTGAAAATTATAATGAGTGACGAGAGCTCCACCGACAAGAGCGCAGCTCTTAAATAGGATAGATAGATTAAGGACATATACGGAAATTCCATTATTTATTTATTTATTTATTACAACAACTGGATGAGCCTTACAGTCTCCCAAAACGCTCACCCATTATGTATATTAATTTTTTTTTCATTAAAGTAATAAATTTTTATAAGTGAGAACACATACTGTTTTCATAAGGTTCGTTTATGTAATACAAGTAAGATGAATTTCAATGTTTACCAAGCATCGATAATATTTAGGATCAATAGAAGTTTTAAGCCACTTTTAGGATTATCCAATATTTATTTGTGAATATTGAAGGAGTTTTTATACACGACATTCACACGACATGGTTTAGTTGTAAAATGACAACAAGATTGCTAATTACTAATCCGATTATCATGGGTAACAGGTTCATACCAACTGGTAAGGAGGGTAAGAATAACTTCAAGTCCAATGGCTGAGCCGTCACTAGTCGTTGGAAGTCCTTAATGTGTTTCAGTGTTGACAGATCTGGATCTGTAAGTTATTTATTTTTATTTTATTGAAAATGCAGTTATTCACTAATTAAAGTTTTTTTTTAATAGATGGTAATAGAATGATAATCCCGCTTGCGCTAACGGTATAAGCTGGTAAGGCACCAGTGGTGAAAATGAAACGGCAGGTCAGTTAGCCCACCGTGATGAATACACCTGGATTTCAGCACAATAGTTTCCAGGGGGACCACGTGGAGGTCGACTTGATACCAGTCCAGCAATATAGGGTATATTGCTAGCCATGGGACTAGTGGTCCGCATGACTTACAATTCCTTTCCCCCTATTAAAGTTTATTTATAACAACTTTAAAACTGTTTGATTTCTTTTTAGCTGTATTAAGTGATTACGTTGCTAAATCTAAATTGACAAATCTTTTTGTAAACGATAAGATATATTTCCGTATAGTTCCTTATTAATCTGATACAATTAGAGGCACCGATTTTCTTTGTAAAATTTTAATTATAGACACTTGAAATAAATAAAACGTTCATTGCCAACAATAAAATATTATTGTACTTAACAGTAAATAGAAAAATGCGAATCAACGTGTGATCTTTTTCTCGTAATTTATGTTTTTGCTAAGTTTTCTAATAATCTGTCTTTTGTAGGGAACAATAAGATACCTACCTACTATCATTATTCTAATAAATTAAATAGTAGCTTACTTACAATGCTGTAGTAAATTAACATGTAGTTTTGCCAAAGAAATTTTCAGTATGGCCAGTTCATTGGGTAATTTCTGTCCATAGAACATAACTGGAAACGTTGTAGCCGTGTAATAAAATATTAGAGCCATCATTTGCATTGCACCGAAATTGGGGTAGACAACCTGTAAATGATACATTTTATGTTAATTTTATCCAAACAACGATATATGTCGTACGATTTAGTGATTTTGTTTGCTCTGAATACAGATTAATCTAGTTGCGCTTTATACGTTTTTCAAATTCCCGCCAATTTTTAAAATAAATGTTTTTTTTTATTATATGTCAGTGAGCTAAGGAATAATGTTTATTACATTTTTTACTTAGCTCTCAAGAGTAGTTATGTTAAAAGACTAAAGAGTTCTTTATTCCAAATTGAAAATAATAGTTTATTTAGCATTATTAACACATTCAGTGTGAAAAGAAAAAAATTAAATGAAATCCCGGGCGCATTTGATTGTTAATCCAATTTAGTCACGTAACGGACTTGCCTATAATATGCACGTGATTATTGTTCGCATGACAGTAACATATTGACACTTTTGATATGGGTACCTATAAGATTATTAGACTGTAATACAGTTATGTTCTTACCCTTTTTACTAAAACGTTGATGAAACGATAACATATGGTTATATAGTAAATCATGGCTACGATAACTGTAAATAGCATCTGAAATAGTAACAATATAAACATTTATTATTAATGCATAAAATTTTTTTCATGGCTGAAGTTTTTAAAAAATGATTTAAAAAATATTTTATAATAATAAGTTTTAAGAATGTTTGCAATGGAATTACCTATCAATTTTCAAAAACATTTGAATAATTTTCAATATTTCTAATTGATGACAACTTGAGGCAAAACTCGACTAGCTTTATGTAATTTTCTCAACTTGTTTTAGATATATTTATATTCTACATCATTATATTTATTTCACCTTCAAAGGAATGTAATGATTTACCTAAAGAGAATAGAAGCATACAAAAGAAAAAGATCGTGCGTTTATTTGTTATACAAAGTGTGTTCCAAGTACACACATGTTTTGATTATTGCGTACCGCCTGTGCATTATAGCTACCAGGATGAAACTTGTATTAGAAAACAATACTATGGTACATTTATTTTTTCCGCTGTCATACACGTATCAACATCAAAGGGTTCATTCATAGCTGTAGCAAATCTATTAGTCTTTATAATGTTTTCTTTTTAATATGAAATGAGGTATTTTGAATTTGGAATTCTAAATGATGAAAATAAAAAGGAACTAATAGTAGGTTGTATAAGTCATGCTTTTGTCTACTTTATATGACGAATTTGAAAACAACAGCAATAAATTCAAGATTAAGCCTGCGTCACTTTGAACAAAAAACTGTTTCTATGATATCTATGCAACCAGTCCATAGTTATTTTTTTTATAATACTATCGATATTGATATTATGTACAGAGGTATAAGTAGCTTTATAATGCTACGAATATTAGGTTATTTTATTTGCAGGTTGATAAGTGGTTGCATTGATTTATTTTCCAATTTCGTCAATATATAGACAGTAGCGATTTAAGTAATTTACTGTGTACAAGGTAACAAACTTAAAATTATAAATATATATCCTGCTATCAATCCCATAGTCTCTGTTTCCATAATCTGTGTTTCCATTACGCAATTTTTTCTATGCTTATCCTAAATTTTGTCGTCCAAAACTTTCTTTGCAGAAGAATGCACTTTCTAAAACTGTTTTTAGCGTGTGCACTATGTGTCATGTCATAAAGACAAAAAATAAGAACTTAAAACTATTAATATTAGATTAACCTTAGAGAGTAACTAACTAAACTAAGAAATTATATTTTGATTGGGTGCATTATAAATAAATGTTAATAGTTTACCTGTCTACCAAAAGTAACGTTCATATTAATGCAACTCGTCTGCAAAAAACGGTAAATTCTCGTCCAATCTTTAATCCTTTCTTCTGTTAATGAGACAATTGCATCGGCTTTTTGTTTTAATATAAACTTACAAGGTCCCATTATCGTTTTTGTTATGGATTCATTTAATAATTTTAACTGGTTTTCTATTACAATTACCAGTACCAAGTATATGTAGATTTCAATAAGAAATCTAGTTTGTGACCGTGCTTCGGAAATAGCAGCCATAATAAATAAGAAGAGATAAAAATAGTCCTGACCAACGTAGTTGTTTATATACTCTACAAGTTGCCAACTTAAAAAAAAACGTAAAGATATAATCAATATGGCACTAATAACACAATATACATTTATTTCCTTTAATATCTTCTGATATCGGGTATCTGTCTTGAAGGAAGTGTGAGCTCCATAAATATTTTTAAGTAATTCATCAAAAGACTTTGAATGTTGAAGGCTTCCAAGTATAGTCGCAAAATTGTGAATCAAATTGACATTTAGAAAAAAAATTGTCAATACCGATAATCCATCCACGAAGTTAATGACTAAAGACAACGATGTAAAATTTTTTATGAATATCAATAGAATTAGAAATAATTCAATAACAATATGCGCAATGGTATAATATTTTTTCCTACCATTTAAAGTGTGGAAATTATGATAGATACATAAAGTGTTTCCAATAAATATTAATGATTGAATAGATTTGATTTTAGGCATTCTTTATAAATATTTGATACACTTGTAACTTGTGAAGGCTAACACCAAAATAAATGGAATTAACCATGAAGTGACAATAAAATAAAAACATCGTACATTTACTTGATTATATTTCAATCACTTATTCTAAGGACAAGGTGATTGATTGGGGGTTCTAGTTGTTAAATGTTATATATATACATACGCTATATTTATATGTTAGTATAATTATACTATATACATTCTATTTAATTTTTATTCAATAAATTAATTACAATGAAATTTATGTTCGATTTTAAATTAATTAGAAGCACTAATAAGATTTTTAGGTGTATTTTTTTTATTTAAGCAACTGCTTCTGTCTATAAATGCAACAACTAAAATTATACATTATAGCATTTTTTTTAAAGTTATTTATTTACATTTTATTGCACCATTTATAAAATAATAAATACAGTTAATTTTAATGAGAAATGATACAAAAGGCGGCCTTATCACTTAACAATCTCTTCCAGACAACCTTTGAGTTAATTAAATACTGTACAAAACTTAGGGTACACATGATGTAATAGCTTCGGGCTATCACAATATTTACTTTATTTAGAATATACCTATGGCATAAAATATTGAGATTACAGTTAGCGAATTTAATTCCTTACGGAATTTTCTATCAGTTTGCCAATCAGGTGGCTAATTGAAAACAGATATTAAAGGATTTACGGAGTCTCTAATAGATAAAGGATGTATCGACAAATTTATTATTAGTTTAAACGGCGTGGTTTAATTGCAAAATAACAACGAGATTACTTAATATGAATCCAAAAGATATCGGCAAGAGTATCATGCCGATGGGTAAGGATGATAAAAATAATTTAAGTTCCATAGGTTGTGTCATCACAAGATGTTGGAAGTCTTTAAGGGATTTCAGTGTAAATGTTTTTGAATCTGAAATAGAATTACTATTAATAATTTTTTCAAGCTGTAAAAAACTATTTTAATTAACGTACGATAAGTTATTTAACAGCGATTGTATTTATTTAAATGTCTATCTTTACGCAACGTCGTTCGCGGTGTAGGCAGAGAAAATCGAGTGTTAATAGCCTTCAGGTTTAGACATGTTTCACTTAACAACTTTACAACTGGTTTCCTCGACTACACGATGTTTGGAAAAACGCTTCACTCCCGTTCAGCAAGTACCAGAGGGAAACTTTGTACAAAAGTTGTTTGCTTGGGCACCTCTGTCCCATTCGTGTTTCTACTCTAAAGCAGTTGTGTTTGGCTGTGTTTCGGTTTGAAGGTTGGGATATGACAGTGAATTTACAGGGTACAGAGGAATAACATCTGAGTCCTCAGGAGTGGCAACGCGTGGGGGGATCATGGGCGAAACAGTATACTCTGTTATTTCCATGCTACTGCTCATGTGTATAGGCGACGGTTACCACTTTCCATCCGATGGGCCGTCAGCTTGTTTGCCATTCTAAGTAGCATAAATAAGTACATGTCTATTTGATTATGATAGGTTGGCCCGGACATATGCATTATTCCACGTTCGCAATTCGCATTGTTGCTGTCAAATTTATGTAAAAAAAAACTTAGTATTTAAATAGCAGCTAATCGTATATGGCTTGGCACTTACATTTCTGTAGTAATAAAATATGTAGCTTCGCCAAAGAAGTTACTAATTTCTTTGAATTATTTGACAGTTTTTGTGCATAGAAAATAATTGGAATCGCTAAACCTATGTAATAAAATAACATAATAGTCATCTGTGTAGAGCCATATAGGGATAGTAAACCTGTAAACGGTATAAAAATATTATTGTTGAAATTTTCCAAAGTACACATTATATTTTAATGTAAGAACGCCCGGATTAACATACGAGTATGTGTATTTCGACTAATGTTGGTACCACCTAGATTCTAGGTTTTTATTTCAAGATTTCCTTCTTACGTACTATGTAGTGTATTGTGATTTGTTCCCCTAATCGCCTCTACTAACATTATTATATTGTAGGATTTATATGAGATAAATCTGCAGTAATATAATATACTAGTATCTACTTACCTTCTTATTCATAAAAAGTCAAACGTCTATAACTATTTTGTTATTGTAGTGTAGTAAGTTTTTATTTTTTTATTTTATTTTATCCGAAATACCTATGTGTAAATTTGTTTGTGAGGAGACATATATAAATATATTATTATTATATTATATTATATATTAACCTAAATTTTCAATTTGAGAGAAAGTGACAAAACGTTCTAATACCCCTTATAACGGCATTTCAAAAAAATATGCTTATAAATATTTAAAAGGTCGGCAACGCACAAGCAATTTCTCTCGGATTGCAAGTATTTATGGGCGACGTTAGTCGATTCCATGTGGAATCGGATCGTCTGCTTTTTTGCCTTCCTAACAAAAAAAGGTATTGTCACTTACGCTCAAATTGAGAGTTTTAGTTATAAGAGAATTTTATGTATGAAATCTTATTTCGTACCTGTTTAACTACCACATTTATTAACCGGTAACTTATGGTTATGTGGTACATTATGGCTATGAGAAATGAAAATAAAATCTAAAATGCGAAATAGTTTATTAATATGAAGTACTACTAATATTAACAATTTTAGAAAAAAAAGAATATTCATGTAACAAGTAATTGGAATAAAAACAAAATACAGTAATTTCACTTACAAACGAACTGAGAGAAGGGAAAATACAAACTTACCTCTTTACCGAAACATATATTCATAAATTTGCAACTTGTCAGCAAATAATGATACATAGTCGTCCAATCTTTGATTCTTTTTTTAGTCAACAAGACAAATGGCTTTGGTCGGCCAATTTGTAAGGATTCACAAGAATGTGTTATGATTTCTCTTACAGATTTATTCAAGAACCCTAACTGATTTTGTATTACAATATTAAGTGTCAAGTACATGTGTGTAACAATAAGGAAGCGAGCTTGTGACCAAGATTCGGATATAATCACCACATATAATAATAATAATAAGATATGGAAATAATCAGAACTAATATACCATTGATTACACAAAACATATTTAAATTTCTTAATATTTTTTGATAAAGAACATTTGAGTTGAAGAACGCTTGCGCGCCATAAATGCTTTTAAGTAAATGCTCAAAAGATTTTGAATGTTGAACGCTACCAAGTATGATTGTATAATTGTAAATTAAATTTATAATTTGAAAAATAATTGTCATTGTAACCATCTCACCGATAGATTCAAGAAATTCTATGATCATCGACGTAACGTTAATTAAAAATTTGATTAGAATTAAAATCAATTCTATAATTATATGTAAACTGGCGATATATATTTTTCTTCTTTTTAAAGTACGGAAATTATGATAAATACATAAAATATTTTCAATAAACATAAGTGATTGAATTGCTTTAATTTTATTATGATTAATCTTATATATAAAATTCTAGTGTCACGGTGTTTGTTACCAAACTCTTCCGAAACGGCTTTACTGATTTTTATGAAATTTTGTGTGCATATTGGGTAGGTCTGAGAATCGGCCAACATCTATTTTTATACCCCTCAATGATAAGGGTAACCCTCCCCAAAAAAAAAATATTTTTTTGAGAAATTTTTAAATTTTTTTTTATTATGTTTTAGCATTGAAAAATATATACAACCTCAAATTTTCACCGTTTTAAAGTCGATTGCTTGGGTACCTCTGTCTCATTCGTGTTTCAACCGTGAAGCAGTTGTGTTTGCATGGCTGTGTTTCGGTTTGAAGGGTGGGATATGGCGTGAATTTACTGGGTACAGAGGAATAACACCTGAGTCTCACCTGAGTCACCTGAACAATGATCCAATATTTGAAGCGATATCTTAGATACTCAGTTCGTCTTTGCTCCCCATTACATCATGGAATATGGTGAGGTCGAAAAATTATTGTTTACAATAGACATAACAGATGTTTACATAAAGAAACATTTACAACTGACTTCAAAAATTCTTAATTTTTTTTCTTCTCTTTCAATTCGATTCTATTTTTTAATATTTGCTAACTCATTACTCCGTTAGTTGTGAATCGATTTGAAATTTTATATTTTTTATTTGAAAGGATATATGTACTTAGTAATTGGTCCTAAAAAGATAATAGAAATTTTATCAAAATCGGTTCAGTAGTTTAGTTTTTAAATTAAAATAACTGGTTTTTATTATAATTGAAGTTTAATATTTTTTGTAGAACACAAATTGCTGTGTATGCCTGGTATATAATAGGCCACCCCTTTCTATCACATGAGTGTCATAAAAGGCGACTAAGGGAATTTAATGGTCGAGGGAAGAGCAGCAGCGTCCTTAAAACATCACCAAAGCCTAACTACGACTGCCGACCGACTTGCCAAGCGCGGCGACTATTGACCCCCCTTATGGGAGAGGCCTATGTCCAGCAGTGGACAATTAACGGCTGATATAATAATATAAAATTAAGTAGTTCCGTTATAGAAATATAAATATTGGTATATAAGCAATATTTAGTAATACAAGAATAATGTTATTATTATATCAACGCGTTAGTGATCTTTTAAGAAGGATGCTGCTGTCCATCCCTCGACCATTAAGTTCTAATAGTCATTTCTTACGACATTTACGAAAAAGGAAGGGGTGGCCTATTCTATGCCGGGGCTGAACATTATGTCGCGACTAAAGAGTACAAGAATAACGTACTTACAGTTTATTAACAAAGTGTTGTGTAACCTCGCCAAAGAAGTTATTAATAATGTCATTCGGTTGGCCAATTTCTGTCCGTGGTACATAATGGGTAATATTACTACAGCGTAATAACATAACGTCAGTGACATATTTGTACCACTTAAATAACGATATTGGGTCTGGAAATTGTATGATATAGTCTGTTAATTAATATGCAGATGAAGTTTCTTACTGTTAATTTTTTTATACTACGAAGGCGGCAAACAAGCATACAGCCCGTTTGAAGTTAAACAATTACTGTAGTCTATGGATGCCTGCAACACGTTAGTTACGTGAGTTAGCGTGCGGTGTACCAGTAAAAATCTGTCTTTGGTCGTTTAACTGGTGTATTGCTGTAAGGAACCAAGAAGATTGATCTTCTTTTCAACCGAGATTCCAAAGGAGGTTCTCAATTGCTTTATTTTTTTTTCATGTCTTTGTTACCTTATAACGTTAGTTGTAAACCGATTTCAAAGATTATTTTTTTATCTGAAAGAATATACTCACAGATATTAAAATAATATTAAAATCGTTTCAGTACTTTAGTATTCAAATCAAAATGTCTGGTTTTGTCAAAATTGAAGTCGCATTTCGTGGAACATAATCTTGAATTATTATAGAGAAAGACCAAGAAAGCAGTTCATAATCAAAATTTTTAACTGCTTTCAGTTATTGCTTACTAATAAGTGGTTTACATAGCAGACATAACAGAAACCTAAAAGACCCATTACTTTTTTTAAGGTTCTATATTGAAAAGTTAAAAAGAAGTACTGTGATGCAATTTTACCCGTCCGTCTGTTCGTCACAGTGCTATATAAGATGTCAAATTAATATTAATGCAATCGAAATGAAATTTAGTAATGAAAAGTTTAAACATAGTCGATGTACTTCTACTTTTAAAGAAATAATAAAAAAAAATTACATATATTTTGATAATTCTTAATTAATGATCACAATATTTGACGTGGAGTTGAATTTGCAATCGATAGAGCAGTATTAGTTGATCCATCTTGAAATATTTTTTCAGACATTTAAGTAGCATACCAGCTTAACCTCATGTTTGAGGTTATCATCGACTTCTTGATATATTTAATTCCCAAGCCGAAATGAAAGGCATTAATTTCAATGAATCAGCCACCTTTTTCCTAAGTCCTTTTCACCAGAGGGAGACTTTGTACAAAGGTCGATTGCTTGGGTACCTCTGTCCCATTCGTGATTCTACTGTGAAGCAGTTGTGTTTGCATGGCAGTGTTTCGGTTTGAAGGGTGGGATATGGCGTGAATTTACAGGGTACAGAGGAATAACACCTGAGTCCTCAGGAATGGCAACGCATGGAAGGTATCATGGGCGAAACAGTATACTCTGTTATATCCATGCTACTGCTCATTGTCTTTAGGCGACGGTTACCACTTTCCATCAGGAGGGCCGTCAGCTTGTTTGCCATTCTAAGTTGTATAAAAAAAAGTCCACTGCTAAACATAGATTTCCCCTGTAGATTGCCATTGGGAACGGGTCCCATGCCATCTGCGTACATTAATATCCTGCAATGCCATTGAGGTTGTCACTCCATCTAATGGTGTCCTATACTGCGCTTGTTCATATGAGTTCGTCGCTAAAGAATCTTTCTTTCCTATCGGTAATCATTGATTAATTTAATATTAATCTAAAATTATTTTTCATACCTTTTTAACTACAATGGTAATAAGACGGTAGCATATTATTATACTATTTATTGAAGCCATCATGAACGAAAACATTATCTGAAACAAAATACACGCGATCAATAAAGAATAAACGAGTTTACGTATCTGAGACATTGTTTGAACTTCGATCACTTTGTGTAATACAACAAATTTATTTGTTATGAATACATTGCACGACTCCCGTGAATATAAACAGTAGTTTTTTTAAAGGATGATAATGGAATGGTAGCCCCGCCTGCGCAATCGGTATACACTGGCGGGGCACCAGTGAAAGGTGATAGGTGAGGACGAAAAGGCAGGTCGGTTAGCCCATCGTGACGAATTCAACAATAAATTAGTCACGATAGTTTCCAGGGGAAACCGCGTGGAAGTCGACATGACAGGGCTTGCTAGCAATGGGGCTATTAGTCTCCATTACTGATAATCCCTTTCCCCCAAAAGTTAGTAGTAGTGAGTATATAACATGGTTAACCTTAAATATTATTCAAAACTTAAAAATTTTGGGTAGGCATAATAGGGTTAGTTTGGTATGTGTCCCTAAACACAAAGGAATTAAAGGTAATGAAAGGGCCAATAAGTTGGCGAGAAGGGGCTTAAATTAAAAAATGATAGATCCTAAACCATATGTTGCACTTGCATCAAATGTTGTTAATTCTGCCCTTGAGGAGTATGTGAAGAAAAAATAGCAAAACGAATGGAAAACTGGAGGGGTCTTAGACATTCTAAAAAGTTCTTAAACGACAGTGCTGAGGGATGGGATAAACTCATGTACAGCGGTGGCTGACAACAGGCTAGACTCATTATGGGTGCCCTAACTGAACATATGTCAATAAGGCATATACTATACAAGTTGGGTCTATCTTCAGACACATTGTGCAGACTGTGAGGTGCGAAATCGGAATCCATGGAACATTTGATGTGCAACTGTCATTCATTGGCAAGTATGCGAATGAGTCTACTGGGAACGGCTTTTCCAGAGCTAGGAGACTGCAGATATCTTAAACCGCGGGATATAGTTAAGGTAACATATAGGATCTATGAAATGATGGTATAAGGCAGAGGGAAGTACAAAAGATCCTGATAGATCGACGTGCAAGGGCTTAACTGACCCCATATACGAATATAAGATAAGATAGTATATAATTTTATTATTATTATAACTGAACGATTTCACCTTATGGCATTCGCAAAGTTTTATAGCATTATTTATGTGCAATTATGGAACGTTATACTTTATAGGGTGATTTAGCGAACAAATTTTATGCAGGTAATCTTTATTTATAAAGTTCTATTAAACAGACACACATACACACGCACTAAATACGCACACACACACACACACACACACACACACACACACACACACACACAGAGAGAGAGAGAGAGAGAGAGATACAAAAGCACACGCACACGCGCACGCATACGCGCGGTTTCATAGTGTGAATTGCATTAGATATATACCTACCAGATTAATTGTGATTATTTGTATACATCACAAATAATCACAATTAATCTACTATGATATATCTATATAAATATTAGTAGTTCCCGCGACTTTACTCGCATTTATCAGTATATAGAGCAGTCTATATTTACATATACAACGGGTAGATTAACTTGGTTAGTTAGGTTAAGTATTTCCAACTTACGTTTAAATCTGTTCAGCTTAAACAAGCATGATTGAGTAACAAGGATATAAACTAAGGATGGGTAATATATAGTTATATCTATATATCGTAGTAATAGCTGTATATTGCCCAATAAAAAGTATGTTATATATCGGTTTTCCAATGTATAATATTGAAATAAAGCAACTGTTAGAAACATTTAGTTAAATCTGCCTGGCATAGGCGTTATGGAAATGGCTTTTTCCGCCATCATTTCAGAAGAACCAATATATAAATATCGGAGTGGTACAGATATTACCCATGCCTAATACAAACTCCTGGGGGGAAAGGATTTTTAGTAATGAGGAGGTTAGTCCCCATTGCCATTAATATACCCTATCAGGTGAACCTCTACGCGGTTCCGCCTGGAAACCATCGCGACTAATTTGTTGTGGAATTCATCACGATAGGCTAACTGAAATTCCTTTTTATCCTTACCAATCGTCCCTTACTGGTGCCCTGCCAGTGTATACTGTTAGCTCAGGCGAGGTATTATCCCATTACCATCCATAAAAAAAAAAACCTTTACAAACTTTCATGTTTACAATAATAGGTAATATTATTACCGGCGTTTAAATGGGCAAAAAATAACTTCAATATGGAGATACAGTATTAAAAAAGTTTTTTAAATCAATAAATAGATAAGTTGGCAAATATTTACCTGTGTTCCAAAACATTTATTTATATTCTTGCAACTTGTCCGTAAATGGCGATAGATAGTCAACCAATCCTTAACAATTGTTGTACTTAATTCATGTATCGACTTAGTTCTGTTTGTTTTTAAAGTGCTTTGTTTATACACTTTTATTTTTATCGTATCAGACAAATATTTGACAAGACACCTCAATTGGGCATCCAGTACAATAATAAGTATCAGGAACATGTTCAGTTCGATTAAAAAACGAGCCTGCGAACACGTCTCATACGCGTTCATGACAAACACTGGTATGAATTCGGAATAACTTGTAGACTTTATTAATTGATTGAAAACAGACCGGGAAGATATTATGCGTAGAGCTATAAAGAATATCAGATGTAGGATACACCAAATGTTCAACTTTTTAAACAATTTCCTATAGTTGCGATCGATTTTACAAAAACTATGTACTTGATTTATACTTTTAAGTGTCATATAGAAACATTGTGAATGTCGATAAATTCCTATTAATGTTGTAAAGGTATATGTAAAGAAAATTGTGTGCAATGCGACGAAGAACAACGACATATCCCCGATCTTAAAAAATGTGCCGTTTACAATAATTATCAGAGACCTAACATATAATGCGGAAGTAATGAATAATTCTATAAAAATTCGACTACTGATTAAATACTTTTTTCTTTCACTATAAGTATAAAAGTTGTGATATATGCACAATATATTTGCGACAAACACTAAACTGTTTATAATTTTAATTTTACACTTCATGTCTATTGAAATAAGAGTCTATGCTGCAGTGTCTGCTAGTCGAATGATACTCTTAATTTAATTAAATGATATTATTTATAGTTATGGACATTTAATTAATTCTGGAGGCAGACGAAATTTAATATTATCATAGCATTATTTGTATAATTCTATGGTGACGTTTCTACAGAGTTCATGCTAGCGCTAGGTTTTTGAAATAACAATGTATTACTATAGCAGTTGTATCACGCGACTTTGCCCACGTAAAATAGGATAACGAGTATTCTATGTCTCATCTAGGATAGATAGATAGATAGATAGATAATTTATTTGCATCACTTACAGCACAAAAACAGCAAAAGATACAAAAGCAAAGTGAAAAAAGATAAAAAAAAGATACATGTACAAAAGATTAAAACAGTAATACAAAATGGCCACAACTCAGCTTTTTGCTTTGCCCTAAAAAGAGCATGAGTTGTATGCGTTGTATTGTTGTTGTTGTTAGTTGTATTCTAGCACACCTGCAATTACTGAATTTCCTTTAATTTCATTAATCCGTTTGTGTCAAAATTTTGTGATAATCTGTGTTGTGCCGCCAAATAGTTGTTGTCTGTCTGGATGATCAAATTTTTATATTCGTATTGAATTATAATATTACAGTACAATTACAAAAAAAGATAAATCATTAATAATTTGTTATATTTTAACATTTTATAAATATAATAAAAATTAAATAAATATAATATTTTTACATTTTAAAATATCAAGTAGTTATTACGAAATTTGGCATAGGTAAAAGTAATATTTGGTATGGAGAAATGTTTAAATCAAGACATTTCTTCATTATAGGTTCAGTTGCAAAGAAAGGCAGGCCAATCATTCATTCATTGTATATTTTAAGTGCATATGTTAATAAGCAATATTTTTGTTAATTCTAAATCGATTTTTATAACCATTTTATCGAGAGATTTACTTGTATTACTTTTGTGTTTGCTTTTTTATGGGTGATAATGGAATTGTAACCTAGCTTGCGTTAATGGTTTACGCTGGGGGGTACCAGTGAGAAATGATAGGGAGAATGAAAAGGCAGGTCAGTTAGACCATCGTGATGAATGCATCTGATATTAAGCACGATAGTTTCTAGGGGGGACCACGTGGAGGTCGACCATCCAGGGTATATTGCTAGTAATGGGACTAGTAATTCGCATTACTAATAATCGCTTAAATTACTAACGTGTTTCCATCCCATATTAATTTTGGCAAGACTTAAATCAGTTTATTATGGAACAAATAGACTTCATTTTTAGCCGTGTGGTTCCGCCATAGAATAGTTCACCCCTTATTTTCTGCGAGTGTCCTAAGAGGCGACTGAGGGTACTTATAGTGATGGGCAGCAGCGTCCCTTTGAAATCATCACCAAAAGCCAAACTGTGGTAACAACCACACACACACAATCCGCATAGCAAGCGTGGTACCTACTGGCAAAACTCCTCTTATGGGGAAAGTTTATGTTCAAGCAGTGGACAGTTAATGGCTGATACACCAATTATAGGGGGAAAGGAATTGTTAGCAATGGAATTTGACAACCCCATTGCTAATAATATGCCCTATTAGGTCGACCTCCACTTAGTTCCCCCTGGAAACCATCGTGAACAATTCTTGTTAAATTCGTCACGATGGGCTAACTGACCTCCTTCATCCTCACCTATCATCCTTCATTGGTGTATTCCGATAGCGCGGGTGGGGTTACCATTCCATTATCAACTATGAAAAAAGATACACCAATTGTGGATCAAATGCTTAAATCATCAAAAGAAAACGCTTTTGTAAGATGATTTTTTTAATATTTAATATTTTATTCATAATACTATATTACAATAATATTTAATTATAATTTATAATACATTATTGAATTGTAAAGCGATTACAACATATCCGATTATGAATCCAAGCGATGTTGGGAGTAGATTCATTCGAATATGTAGAGTTGGTAGCAGTTTTAACTCCAACGGTTGAGATGTTACTAGATGTTTTAGATCTTTAACTGGTTTCAATATAGCTAGGTCTGGATCTGGAAATATGTTTTATTACATTAAATACGTTAATCACATCTCCCATATTTAGAACTAACAAAATTTTTCATCGTGCCTCTCACCAAATTGTTTATAATTACTCCTCTCCATCCAAAGGTCGCCTGGAAGAGATCGCTCTTAGCGATAAGGTCGCCCATTGTTTTCTCATTGTGATTATTTCTTGTAATTATTTATATTTATAATAAGTTTACTATTGTAATCTTTTGGAGGAAACAATAAATCTATCTATTTATCTATACGTTGAAATTATTGAATAAAGGTAATTAAAATTAAAGGAAAATTAAACAAATAAGGTAGCTTTTTTATTAGTTATTTCGATTTACTACATTAACACAAATAAGTACGCACAGACTTTAAAATACCTAATGTTATATATACATATATTTATATGGGAACACAAGCGTTCTACTCATTGAAATACTAGTACATAAATAAAATCAATTATATTATTGATTTTACTTGTTATACTGCTTAGTAGCCATGTGATTCCGGCATAAAACAGGCCATCCCTTCTTTTCCTGTGGATGTTGTAAGAGGCGACTAAGGGACTTTAATGATCGTGGCATAGGCAGCAGTGACCCATTTAAAATATCATTATAGTCTGGCCTTTACCAGAGGGAGACTTTGTACAAAAGTCGATTGCTTAGGTACCTCTGTCCCATTCGTGTTTCAACCGTGAAGCCGTTGTGTATGGGTGTGTTTCAGTTTGAAGGGTGGGATATGGCGTGAATTTACTGGGTACAGAGAAATAACACCTGACTCCTCAGGAATGGCAACACATGGGGGACATCATGGACGAAACAATATACTCTGTTATGTCCATGGTACTGCTCATGTCTATAGGCGACGGTTACCACTTTCCATCATGTGGGACATCAGCTTGTTTGCCATTCTAAGTGGTATAAAAAAAATTCTAACTATGGTTGCCAACCCGCCTGTGAAGCGTGGCGATTACTGGAAAACCCCTCTTATTGGAGTAGGCTTTTTTAAATTTTGGTATTATGAATCGTCACCTAGTAAACTTTATTTTATGGATGAAAATGGACTGGTAAACCTGCTTGCGTTATCGGTATACATTGGCGAGGCATCAATGAGAGATAAGGACGAAAGCAGGTCAGTTGGCCCATTGTGACTAATTGTCATTATTGTTTCTAGGGGGAATCGTGTGGAGGGCCACTGATAGGCTATATTGGTAGTAATGTGGCTGTTACATACTGTTACTAACAATACCTTTCCCCCCGTTACCCAGTGGAGAATGTATTTAGGTATTATATCCACCGAGTATACTTTAGTAATGACAAGATTTAATAAATAATAATATACTTACAATTTAATAACAAATCATTGTGTAACCTTGTCAAGGAAATTTTTAACAACGACGTTTGATTGGATAATTTCTGCCCATAGAACATAATGGGCAATATTAATGCATTGTAATAAATTAACGTAAATGTCATCTCAACGCCGCTAAAGTGTCGATATTTTGTCTGTAAAGAATTTGTTATTTTGATCTTTAGTTGACCATTATCATCTTTTAAGACTTTTGACAACTGCAGATTCTAATAGAATGACAAACAAACTAATGTTATACCTGATGGAAGTAACTGTCGCCCATAGACGTAAACAGCACCATGGATATTGTAGAATTTACTGTACAAAAGTCGATTGTTTAGGTACCTCTGTCCCATTCGTGTTTCAACCGTGTAGCAGTTGTGTTTGCATGGCTGTGTTTCGGTTTGAAGGGTGGGATATGGTGTGAATTTACTGGGTATAGAGGAATAACACCTGAGTCCTTAGGAATGGCAACGTATGGGCGAAACAGTATACTCTAATATGTCCATGGTACTGCTCATGTCTATAGGCGACGGTTTCCACTTTCCATCAGGTAGGCCGTCAGCTTGTTTGCCATTCTAAGTTGTATATAAAAAAAACAACAACAATAGTACTCCATGTACGATGTCATTTTTGAGACTTTATGCTATGCCTTTACAGCTTTGTACAAGTTATATTGTACAAAGCTTCCCTCGGGAAAAGTCATTATAATTATATCAGCTGTTAAACGTCCATTGCTGAACATGGGTCTCACCCATTAGGGGGTTTTGTCACTTGGCAGGTGAATTTGCATCTGTAGTTAGGCTTTGGTGATGTTATAACAGTGATTCGGCTGCCCATATCTCGATGATTATCTGAGTCGTTTCTTACGACACCCACGAGAAAGGAAGGGGTGGCCCATTCTTTGCCAGGGCCAGGCTTAATCAGAAAAAATATTAAATATAAAAAAAAATCTCCAGACCTCTTTTATTATACCGGTTATTAAACGGTAGCATACAATGATATAATATATCGATGCCACCATGAATGTGAACAGAATCTGAAACAAAATATAACAGACTATAAAGTTCTTAAATTTCTGAAGTGAGGCAATATATACATATA